GCTTTTTGTGTTCTTTTCTCTCTCCTGGTCTCACAATTTCATTTGTTTTTCCCCGTTTTGAGTGTTCTCTTCCAGCTTCTCTCTCACTCGCGCTCGCATTTTCCCTCACTTCCTCTCGCTGTCACACATTCTCTCTCACATTCTCATTCTCTCTCTCTCTCTCGCTCTCACACTGCCTCGCACTTTTCCCTGATCGTGCTCTTGCTCTGGTGCCATCTTGGGAATCAGCATGGGTTTCGACCTGAGGTTTCAAACACATCAAGAGGTGAATGTAAGGGGATGTTTTGTGAAAAGCCATGGGAGATGAGCAGGATCTGTGAATTCTTGTACTAGTCTGCCACCTAGTGTAGGAATGGATAGTTTAAATGATTCAAAAGTAAATTGCACCAATTCCTGATTCTGTACAGGGTATAGGAATATGAGTTTTGGAGGTGATGACTATTATTGTGAGTGCTAGCTCTAGTCACGTGAGCTTCCCCAGAAAGATTTTGTGTTCAGTTTAGAATCTGTGCTGGGCCAACAGAAGTGAATCTAATGCAGACCACATGAGTGGATCAGTCTGTACAAGTGCAAAAGATGTGGGTCAGCTGCAGTGTGTACCTGTGGCACACATGGACACACATGCACACACACACGCACATGCACACACACAACACACACACACACACACACACACGCACACACACAACACACACACACACACACACACACACACACACAACACGTACATAACTTTTTTCTGATGAAGGGTCGAGGCCCGAAACGTCAGCCTCTCTGCTCCTATGATGCTGCTTGGCCTGCTGTGTTCATCCAGCCCTGCACCTTGTTGTCTCGGATTCTCCAGCATCTGCAGTTCCTACTATCACGTACATAACTACGCACACAGTAAACACAACACACATAAACGCCGACACGTACAGAACACATGTTCATAGAACATACAGAAATATACACACAAACACATACACAACACACATAAACGCAGACACGTACAAAACATGTTCATAGAAACACACGCACACAACACATGCAGAAATATACACACAAACACATACACAACCACGCGCACACAAAACACAACACACATAAACGCAGGCACACACAAAACACTGAAACACCTGTTCACAAAAACACACACAGAAGCGTGTGCACGCATACAGACACACAGAAGTGCACACACACACACACACACACACACAGACACACATGCACAACCATGCACACACAAAACACAGCACACATAAATGCAGACACACACAAAACACAGAAACACATGTTCACAGAAGCACACACAGAAGTGTGCACACGCACACACACACTTGGCTATTAAGCGGAAGGCTAGTGCCCCCTCTCTGATGGACATGAAAGGCCTCATGGTATTATGCTGGTGTCCTCGCCAGATTTTCATCCCCAAATCAGTTTTGCAGAGCAGATGGTCTTTGTCACGCTGCTGTTTGTGGGATCTTGCTGTGTGCAAATTTCCTTCTGTCTTTCATACAGCACGTCGGTGACAGCTCCTCAAAGCGTGCGCCATTGGCCATGAACCCCAGTAGGCTTGGCCAGGAATACAGTCACCCTGGGCATTGTATGCTGGCTGTGGATTTAACATGCGCCTCTCCCCACCACCCCCCCAACTCATTCCCATCCCCCTCCCCACTGCCATTGTCCCTCAAACTGGGGGTACACAATACTCATCTCCGCTGCCCCACACACTCTGAAAACTCTCGCACGTTGAGCTGAGCTGTACAGGGGACAGGCACATTTCCAGCTGTCACTTCGATGATTGACAAACATTGGTGAGCACGGATTAATTAACCAGGAACTCTCCTGACTTCACCAACTTGCCTGATGATCTCACTTGTTCTGCGATGGGAGAATTCGACGCAGAGAAATCATTATCAGCCCATCGGCTGGTTTGCAGGGCATAGGCGAGAGCACGTTTCATTGCAAATTCACTGTTTTCTTTCTCCTCCACATTCTCCCAAAAAATTCTCCTGTGCATTAACTCAATGAATGCCATGTTCCTTAACTCAGAGAACAAACTGGCAGTTTCTGAAGATGTGGCTCCCTGGCCCAGAGCAGGCAACGTCGCTCCTGGCCTTTGAGCCAATGAACAGGGCCATTGCCTTGTGCAAAAGGATCTGGCCTTGGGCCATTCTGGCATAGATGTGACGATAAAGAAAATTCAATTCAATTCAGAGGGACTGGTGAGATTATCATTCATTCATGGGAATGGGTATCCCTGACTGGGGCAGCATTTATTTCCTTTCCCTAATTGCCCAGAGGGCAGTTAAGAGTTAACCACATTGCTGTAGGTCTGGAGTCACACGTAGGCCAGATCAGGTAAGGATGGCAGTTTCCCTCCCTAAAGGGCATTAGTGAACCAGGTGGGTTTTTCCTGACAACTGGCAATGGTTTCATGGTCATCATTAGACTCTTATTTTAAGATTATAATTGAATTTACACTCCACCACCTGCCATGGCCGGATTCAAACCCAGGCCCCCAGAACGTTATCTGGGTCTCTGGATTATTTCTGATAATACTACTAGCCATCACCTACCTGCAGTGATGTCCTGGAGCGGAGATGACTGACAGCCAACAACGAACATCATCCTATGTGCCAGACATGACTCCAAATGGTGGAGAATTTTCCCTAATTCCCACTGATTCCAGTTCTACTAGGGCTCCTTGATGCCACACTTAGTCACATGTGGCCTTGATGTCAGGCACACCTCTATCAAATCTTCTCTCAAGGTCCTCGGCTCTGGATTGCCCACCTGAGGTGAAAGCATTCCTCCATTTTCCAGTAAATCTTCTCCGCATCCTCACGTCCCACTTAAAGTGTGCTGTCAGTAACGTTCTGAAGTCAGGAGTGTTTGGGACTTACTGATCCAAAGAGAAGAAGCTTAAAGTTGTTTACTTTGGATGGATGTCATTGGTTTTTTGGGAATTGGGTTACCCGTACCAGGTCGGCTGGTAAAATGGGAGCTAGACCTCGGCGTTTCCAACAGTTGACACGAATTGATTGTCTTTCTGAGAGCTACCAGCAGCTTCGTTGTTGTAGAATGTGGAACACTGCTCTGGTCTCTGTTACAAGGGGATCAGCACATTTGAGCATGGACAAAAGTGCAGTTTCACTGTTTAGCGAGCCATAAGTTAAGGCGAAACAAGTTTGAGCGATGTTTTATCAAAATTGCTTCAAACCTCCCAAAGTGTATAGCCTTAATAGAGTGATCAATGTTACAGTGTTTCTCGTCAGGGACAGAGTAGCCTCCTTCAGCCCTGTCAGATATTCCCGTTCAGTGGGGAGCAATGAGTTTTGTCACGCAACTGAATTGTAAACGCATAATTAGGGGAGGCGATGGCCTAGGGCTATTATTGGTAGACCCCATTGATTTAGAGACCCAGGTTCAAATCCCGACACGGGATTCATATTAAATTCAATAATAATCTGGCAAGAAGAATCTAACAATGACCATGCATCCATTGCTGCTTGTTGGGGGAAAGTCGCATCTGGTTCACTAATGCCCTTTAGGGAAGAAACTGCCATCCTTACCTGGTCTGGCCTACATATGACTCCAGTCTACCAGCAATGGCTCCTCTAGGGCAGTTAGGGATAGGCATTAAAAGCTGGCCTAGTCAGTGAAACCCACATCCCCGCGTGAATATTTTAAAAAGTACAATAACAGGCCATTTGGCCCATTGGGGTTTGTACCACCCCACGGAAGAATGAGGTGGCCATTTTGTGATCTCTCGAATGGTGAAGGAGTGAATGGCAGGCATTCTCGTAAGGCAGCGTTTCATGACACCAGAACTTTGGGGTGACTGCGCACACGCACTCATACGGCAGAGCACAGGCACGCAGTTCCTGACCCTGTTCGCCAAAGGTCCCCACTGCGCACGTGCACAGAATAAAGGCTGGGCTTGAAACGGGAATTGGGGGTAGAGAAAAGACAGCACATGGAGGTGTGGAGGTGGGGAGTGGACCCAGGGAGAGGTGGGGGTAGTCAGGTGTTGGGGAATGGAGAGAAAATGGATGGGGCATGGGGGGTGTTGGGGAATGAACCAGGAAAGAGGGTGCGCAGAGAGCAGGGGAATGAACCAGGGAAGAGGGTGCGCAGAGAACGGATGGAGGGATGGGGGTAGAGTGTGTGGAGAGAATGGATGGAGGGATGGGGGTAGAGGGTGTGGAGAGAACGGATGGAGGGATGGGGGTAGAGGGTGTGGAGAGAACAGATGGAGGGATGGGGGTAGAGGGTGTGGAGAGAACGGATGGAGGGATGGGGGTAGAGGGGGTGGAGAGAACGGATGGAGGGATGGGGGTAGAGGGTGTGGAGAGAACGGATGGAGGGATGGGAGTAGAGGGTGTGGAGAGAATGGACCAGGAAGGAGGAGGATGGTGGGGGAGAGAGGACAATGGATGATTTGGCGGGTTAGTGGGCCCATGATGGGGGAAAACAGGCCCGTCCTTCTGGATAAAAACCTAAAGAACTGCGGATGCTGTAAATCAGGAACAAAAACAGAAGTTGCTGGAAAAGCTCAGCAGGTCTGGCAGCATCTATGAAGGTAAAAACAGAGTTAACTTTTCGGGTCCGGTGACCCTTTGTTCTGAGGAAGTTCTAAGGAGTTCTGAGGATCAGTTCTGAGGAAGGGTCACAGGACCCGAAACGTTAACTCTGTTTTTTCCTTCACAGATGCTGCCAGACCTGCTGAGCTTTTCCAGCAACTTCTGTTTTTGTTCCTGTCCTTTTGAAAGTGTCTTCCAAACTAAAAAGCTGCAGGCGTGTTTCTGAAAGCGAAGACGCACATGCGAACACTTTTCAATAAATGTTATTCGCTAACTCATGTCCCTGTAGAGTATGGCTCTCAGTGCCAGGAAATGCAATCTTCTGGTCCACACAGAGTTCCTTACTCCCTCCAGTCAATATCTCCTACAGCCACTTGACAAAAAAACATCTGTCCTCTTTTTACTAAACCCGTCTTCTCTTTTTCCCTCCAGTACACGTATGAAGGAAATGACATCAGTGACCTTCCTGTGGATCTCTCCGTCGTGTGGAATGGGAATTTTGTCATCGACAATCCTGCCAATATTAAAGGTATGGTCCTCAGATTAAAGGCAACAGCTTCCATCCACCCAGTGGCCATTACTGATGCCTTGAGACCTTGTTAATGATCTTCTTGGCTCTACACACGGTGGATTGGAAAACAGCCAGGTTCAAAAGGGTTGGATGAAAGAATTCTAAAATGATGGACTGAGAGTAGCGTGGATCTTGCAGCTGCCCCTGAGATTCAGGCTTATTTCTAGATTGACTTCGAGATTTCTGTAAGTTCATGATTAGGAAAGGTTTGGAGGGATATGGGCCAACCGCTGGCAGTTTTGTTTGGGATTATGTTCAGCATGGACTAGTTGGATTGAAAGGTCTGTTTCCATGCTGTATGACTCAATAATTGTATTACATAATTATTATTGCATTTATGTAGCACCTGTTACATCCTCGGGACTCACCAATGATCCTTAGAGCCGAAGGACACAGTGTCATGATTGCTGCGTAGGAAAGCAGCGACCAATGTTTGCACAGCAAGCTCCCACGAGTAGCAGTGTGATAATTAACTGATATCTTTTAGCAACTTTGTTGAGGGATCGATATTGCCCAGGGCACCGGGAGAACTCCCCAGCTTTTCTTCAGGCAGCTTGGTGGGATCCTTGGTGCCACTTGAGAAAGCAGGTGGGACCTTATTGAAGCACCTTACCTGATAAAATGGCACCTCTGACAGTGCAACACTCCCTCCCCTACCTGTGGCTGGTTTTTGCACCGATGGACTGTTGTTCCTTATGATGTGGATCGAGATCATCCCAACCTCAGTGCACGTTCGCTGCTTGCAGTTGTAGAGTGTGTTCCAATTCAGACAGCTGGGAGGAGAACCAGGGACAGCTTGTATTGCTGCAGCATCTCCAACATGCCCCAAGATGTCAAGATGCTCCACAAACTCTTTAATGGGACATAAAATTGAGGGCAGAGTCAAAGGCAGCGAATAAGGGATAGTTGTTAGGAATCTTAAAGGAAGAGAGAGAAGTGGGATTTGGAGACAGGATTGGGGAGGATTGGGATTTGGAGACAGGATTGGGGAGGATTGGGATTTGGAGACTGGATTGGGATTTGGAGACAGGATTGAGGAGGATTGGGATTTGGAGACAGGATTGGGGAGGATTGGGATTTGGAGACAGGATTGGGATTTGGAGACAGGATTGGGGAGGATTGGGAATTGGAGACAGGATTGTGATTTGGAGGCAGGATTGGGGAGGATTGGGATTTGGAGACAGGATTGGGATTTGGACACAGGATTAGGGAGGATTGGGATTTGGAGACAGGATTGGGATTTGGAGACAGGATTAGGATTTGGAGACAGGATTGGGGAGGATTGGGATTTGGAGACAGGATTGGGATTTGGAGACAGGATTGGGATTTGGAGGCAGGATTGGGGAGGATTGTGTCTGGTCAACTGAAGGCAGGTATCCCATTGGTGAAGTCAAGGAGTTTGAGGATGTGCAAGAGGCTGGAATTGGGAGAAATGGTTCTTAGCTGATGGTGCCAATTGCAATAGCTTGAGGCCTGAGGGGCACACCTTCAGACGGACACTACCACACAAGCTGCCTCACTTCATTAAAACACTTCTTACAAACCTTACCTCGTTCTTTCATCTTTTTGTCGTTTTGTCTTATTCATTGATGGGCTGTGAGTGTTGCTGGCTGGGCGAGCATTTACCACTGTCCCTAATCACTCTTTAGAAGGTGCCATCCTTACCTGAAACAAAAGGAGAAATTGCTGGAGAAACTCAGCAGCTCTGGTAGCATCTGTGGGGAGAAAGCAGAGTTAACGTTTTGAGCCCAGTGACCCTTCTTTTTTGTGTGTATATCTGTGTGTGTGTGAGAGGAGAGAGTGTCTGTGTGTGTCTGTGTGTGTGGGTGTGTGTGTGTGTGTGTGTGTGTGTGTGTGTGTGTGTGTGTGTGTCTGTGTGTGTGAGTGTGTGTATGTATTTGTGTTGAGTGTGTGTGTGTATGTGTGTGTGTGCGCGTGTCTGTGTGTGTGAGAGAATGTGACTGTGTGTATCTGTGTGTGAGTGTATGTCTGTGTGTATCTGTGTGAGTGTATGTATGTGTTTGTGTTGTGAGTGTGTGAGTGTGTGTGTGTGTGCGTGTGTGTGTGTATGTGTGGGTGTGTGTGTGAGTGAGTGAGTGTGTGTGTGTGTGTGTGTGTGCGCGCGTGCGCGCGTTGTTGGTGGACTATGGCAGATAGGCTGATGGGGACAATAAGTAGGTTAGCTCTGCTGAAAGCAGCTGATCTCATGAGAAGGCTTGGTGTGTGGGGGTGGGGTGAGAGACTGTAGGATTCCATGATCTAAACTTATTAAGTCCTGAAGGCTGCAGGTTCCCCAAGCAGAAAATCAGGAGTTGTTCTTCCAGCTTGCGTTGAGCTTCGCTGGAACACTGCAGCAAGCCTGAGGCACAGATGTTGGCCAAGGGAACAGGTTGGAAGTGGCAGGCAACTGGAAGTTTAGGGTCTTTCTTACTGAGAGAACGTAGGTGTTCTGCAAACCAATTGCTCAGTCTGCATTTTATCTCCTCAATGTAAAGGAGACCTTACTTAATCTGGCCTATATGGGACTTCAGACCCACAGCAATGTTGTCAGGGTGATTAGGGATGGGCAGTAAATGCTGGCTCTACCATCAATGTCCAAATAAATATATATTGTGTATATATTTTAAAAAGTCTTTGTTAGGTGTAATCAGGCAAGGTAACATTTTGATCCCAGACTGAACTGAGGTTGAACTTTATTTATCAGGACTGACCACACTCTAGGCTTTATTCTGGAAACGTGAGAGCTGAAGTGTGACCTGCGGGAGGTTTTGATAAAAAGACTGTGATAGGCAATGAAAACTGGAGCCTATAATGGTCAGATGAGCACAGATAAATCCATTAGGGAATGCAGGATAGATATTTCCACCCAGAGAGAAATGAGAATGTGTATCTCCCTGTCACGTGGAGTGGGTTAGTTCTGTAGTTTTGTTTTCCTTTGTTCTGTCATGGGATGTGGACATTGTTGGCAAGATCAACACTTGTGACCCATCTCTTAATTGCTTTTGAACTGAGTGTCTCGCAAGTGCCAATTCAGAGAGAGCGGTTCCGAATCAATGACCTTGCTGTGGTTCTGGAGTCACAGGGAGGTCAAAACGAGTAGCGACACTTCCCTGAACAATCGGGTTTTTGATGTCAAGCAACATTCCAGATTTTGTGACTTGTTCTGTTGTGGGATTTAAACCCAGAGCACTGTACTAAGCCTCTGGATGACAGTCCAGTAGCCATCACTTATGCCACAGCTATTTCACCATGAATAGTATAGGTTCATTGAAGAGGAAACTGTTCAGGAGAAAGGAACGGGAGAGTACGCTGATGGGGTGCGATGATGAGGGTGTGGGCATCTCAAACACCAGAGTAAAACAGTTACAGGAGCATCAGACCAACAGGAGGACATTCAGCCCTTCAGGTCTTCAGGCCTTCAGGCTTACTTCATGCCTGATCCAACAAGGTGTGGAGCTGGATGAACACAGCAGGCCAGGCAGCATCAGAGGAGCAGGAAAGCTGACGTTTCAGTTCAAGCTGAAGAAGGGTCCAGACCTGAAACGTCAGCTTTCCTGCTCCTCTGATGCTGCTTGGCCTGCTGTGTTCCTCCAGCTCCACACCTTGTTATCTCAGACTCCAGCATCGGTAGTTCCCACTATCCCTTCATGTCTGATCTAACTGTCATCTCAAGTTCACTTTCCTATCTTCCCCCATTACCCTTAACTCCCTGGTCGATCAAAAACCTATCTAATTCACCCTTGAGGACAATCAATGATCCTGCTTTCTGGGGAGAAGAATTCCACGGAATAACAGGGCTCAGGGGGAATGTTCCTATTCTGGAGGCGCTCAGTGAATTGGCTATCTCTGCTCTACCATCCCTGACGCTGAGAGATGACATTCAGGGAGAGAGAGGAAGAGTTTGAGCAGGATTGTGGAACTGCATGCGATGTTTTCGCCGAATGTGGCTCTAACACCACTTCCAGTGCCAGCTCTTCACGTATAGCTTGTATTGGCACTCGGGTGCTCCGACTGCGTGCGTGCACCCCCCTCGCAAACTCTCTCTCAACAAATTAAAGGAGAATCACCCAGGCAGCAATCGCATTACGGCTATAATTCACGCCCCTCATGCCAGAAAGCCTGGGATTCGATCGATTGACTTGATCGAAGCTGACCGTCCCAGTGCAGCGCTGGGGGAATTCTGTACTTCCTGCTCTGCTGCCTTTGCGATCGATCTTAAACCTAGCTCCTGCGTGGCTGTCAGAAATCCCATGGCCGCTGTCAGAAGAGGAGTCTGGGAGTTCTCCCCGTGTTCTGACCAATATTTTGGTCGCTCAACCAAGTTCAAGTGAAATGTTACCATAAATTGCGGCTTATGAGTCAACCTGCCGTATAAGGTGACACCATTTTCTCAACCCCACAAATTGTGTTTTTTTATCTCTGCTTGGTGTAGAGCTTTTCAGCTGTAACAGACCATACTTGCATTAGAACTCAGCCTTTTACCCCAAAAATACACACGTTACATACCAGGAGCTTCCAACTAGACACAAGGGGAATTTTTAAAATACATTCTCAGGCTGAGCACATTCCTGCCTCAGCCAGCATTTATTACCCATTCTAGAGGGCAGTTAAGAGTCAACCGCATCGCTGTGGGCCTGGAGTCACACACAGTCCAAACCAGGTAAGGATGGTGGTTTCCTTCCCTATAGGACATTAGTGTATTGGATGGCTTTTCCCCCCAACATTTGCCATCATTAGACTCTTAATACCAGATTTTTATTGGATTAAAACCCAATCATGGTTGAATTCAAACTTGTGTCTCTGGAACATTACCTGGGTCTCTGGATTAACGGTCCAGCGATGATACCACGAGGCCATCGCCTCCCCTGTGTTGTAATGATGAGCAGGAGTTAAAGAGGTGCCCACTCTCCAATGGATACCAGCATTTCCTGAGGGACGACACAGTGACTCATTGGTCA